TTTATTTTGAGGTAGTATAACAATTTTTTCTGAGAAAATACGAGCATTTGAATCACTACACATTTAACAAGAATTAATAGAATCCAAGTATTTTGACCAAACAGACCTATCACTAATTATAAATGCCCCTCGATCCTTACCTCTTAGCAACCGATAACTTCCACCCTCATCTTATTTTGCAACATATTTTGTTTAGATAAACCATCCTCCTTATACCCTTTAGTCTCATTAGTTTCCTGTTTCATTAATTCCCCTTTTAGACTCTCTAAAGCTAAATGGTGCAACCCCCATCCATGGACCAAACTGTTGAGAACTAATTATATTCCACTGATTGATTTTTTAATATTAATCTATCAAAAGGCTAAAAACAATTTTATTATAAATATTACATCATCTTCATGAAAGCATGACTTAACTCACATTTTTTTTAATATACAAAATGATGCAATGTTATCTAATTTGCAATCACATTCTATATAATACGATTGCATTATAAAGTATCAAATATAACCTATATATAATGTAGTATTATAATGTATCTCCCTGATTCCTCGAAAACAAAATGAATATCTGGTCGTGAAGAAATCAATAGAATCTAATTTTTCTGGCCTAAAACAGATTTCTGGTCTAACCCAGGGTGTAGGCTTGCAAGACACTAGTGAACACTGAATGGCCCATTAACAGTTGGGATCTCATTTGAGCCCAAGACATTTAGCTTGAGCCGTAGCCGAGACCAAGAAAAGTACAAGCACCGTTGGCTAGATCTGAGTTTGCTTTGAGAGTTTGGACAATGCCCGGCCCAACATTTGCTTTATGCTTTAAATTTTTCTCTTTTTTTTTCCGTTGGATAAATTAATATTATATTATATGTGTTATCTTCTTTTAGAAAGAATGGAAGATATAAGTAATAGACCAGGGTTTTTCCTTTTTTTTTATTGATTTTAATTATAAGTAATAGACCAAAGCTTGAACCGACGGTGCAACTGCAGGCACATTTTTAATCTTAATTTTAATTATCATTGTTAAAGGTATATCGTACCCCATTAATTAAGCTAAAACCTACTTTGATAACATTATTGGATTATGGGCTTGCCTTTTCAAATAAATATTTCACTCCCTTTCTAATTGAAGAAGCTTGCCTTACAAATCCTCTTTCGTGTACACAATAATTTCTTTACTCTCATTGTGATAGAGCAGCTACTAGAGTCCTCCATAAGGAATTATACTTTTCAAAACTCTCTGTCATTTGATGGTGCCTCAAGAATGAAGAAAAAGAAAAAAAAAGAAAAAAGAGTTTTGCTTTTTCTTACTTACAGAAGAACTCACATTTACTCTTTGGTTGTATGCTGAAACTAATAGATCTATTCACTGTTTATAAACGTATTAGGAATATAGAGATAGGATATTATATTTAAATTTAAACAAATTAAATTTAAATTTATATCCTATTTCAAACATTTATTATTAATTGTTCATTTAAGTTATAGTAGAATAATATCTAATATTAATCAATTAAATATTAGTTAATCATCCATAAAAAATTAATAAATTAAGTTGCATGTTATGTGGACGCTCCACATTTAAATGCAACATGTTTGTTGGAAAAATGTAATAAAGCTGATAAATAATTAGTCCTTGAATCAAAGAATCTTATATATATTTGGTATGCATTGCTATAGTTTTGTGTTAATTCAAATGTTTTCTGCCATTAATGCTTCTTTAGTAAAGTATTTATTCTGAGTGTTTGTTTAGAATTGCTTTCGATGTACCTAAAAGAAAAAACAAAAAGAGGAAGAAATTCCTTTTATGTTTGAACTTATTTGATTCTTGTTGTTGTCCAATGATCATCCTTGTATTTCAATTTTCATGTTGTGCTTGTCAAAGCGTAAGGCTTCAAATTTAACCAAAGTTATATGTGCATTAACAAAAGAGAGAGAAAAGCTGGTATATGATATTCCCAACTCTATTTGCCTTGATATTTAGCAAATAATTAGATATTGTTTCCTTTAAGCTTTTGTTATTTGCTTTCATATTAAGCAAATAATTGGATATTGTTTACGTTAGGCTTTTGTCATTTACTTCGATATTAAGCAAATAATTGGATATTGTTTCTGCTAAGCTTTTGTTATTTGCTTCAATAATAAACAAATAATACTTAAATCTTGTTTCGGCTCATTAAGTTTTTTTTATTTGCAAAATACAATGACAAAGGAACATTATTGAATAAA